TGCGGCACTTGGCCCTGGCACAGCCTAAGTGAACCGAGTTTCGCCACACTCGTCGCCAACGCATGAGTTGGAGCCATAATCATAGTACGGCTTCTCAGCAGCCCAAAGCTTGACGGCCTCCTCACCGGCCATCTCCCACGATCCCTCGGCGAGGTGCTCGCCGTAGGGCCCACCCGAGTGCTCCATGTTGCAGTCGGCAATCCGTTGGTTGGCATAGCTCAGCGCGTAGGCGGCGAGGGTCTCGTTCCACGTGATGGCGCCGACGCCGACCTCCGCTCGGACGACGTTGTGGACGTCCACAAAGTCTTTGGTGGGAATGCTTGGGAGATCAGGATTAGTCCCATGAAGAAACCTAGGGTTGCTACTAGAGATCTCATGCCTAATTAACCCCATTTTTCTATGTTAGTATGCAAGGCCAAAAAAATTGAAGGGGGTTTTTATAATTATTTCGTAAAGAATAAAAATGAGACGTTATTAATTGTTGACATGTTGTGCTACATAAAGAGGAAATCCAATGTGTAGAGATCTCATGCCTAACCCCATTTTTCTATGTTAGTATGCAAGGCCAAAAAAATTAAAGGGGGTTTTTATAATTAATTAGTAAAGAATAAAAAATGAGACGTTATTAACTGTTGACATGTTGTCCTATATTAAAGAGGAAATCCAATGTGTAGATTACACCCTTTATTAGTGTGCTTTAAAATATTGAAGAAAAAATATGCTGCGTGATCCTTTATTAAATGTAGAATCTAAAGTTATATAATGAAATAAATCAATTATACAAAGTGTCTCCAATAAGAGAATTTTTTTTCCTTTTTTTTGGGTGGTGGTGTGATGTAGGGAGATTTAGTTATTAGTAGTCATTTTTATTATTTTTATTGTCATTTGTCTAGCTCTCTAATTTATCTTTATTTTGTTATAAGTTTGTCGTTTATCTTAGTAGTTATTTGTTATCGTTTTGATGAATAGACTATAATAGCCACTTAACTATTGTATTAAGAAGACTTTGAATATTTGAGAATTGAATTAAAGTTGAGTTTTCTCTCTAATTTAGAGTTTTTCCTCTTTGTAGGGATTTTTTAGGTGAATTCAGAAATTCTCTGTCTAAGTTAAGCCGTTAAAACATCATTATGTCCGTTCCGCTGCATCATGGTGGGGTGGGATTCAATTCCAGTACTATCTACAATAAATAGTAAAATACTTTACCAAATAAATCAACTTGTGTTTTTTTTTGGCTTTTACAAATTCCAAAATTCCTACTTATAGATGATATCATAGGAGATTAAAGGTATCATAGGAGATTATACCTTTAATATTTTTTTTTGTTGATACAAGAGTCTGTGAATTTGTTATGCTTCATCAAAAGGTGTAAATATTGGATAGTATAAAAAACTTAATACATATGTATATATATTTTAAATTTGTGGTGGGGAATTCTAATTCTGCACTTTGTGCAAGAATCAGATCTCAAATTCTGACAATGAACAGACTGTGTTGTTCATGGAGTATATAAATTGGAAGCCCAACTGTCAAGAGATGTTCTTGGGGATGAATGATGAACAAAGGCTCTTTTACGCCTTGCGAATATTGAAAACCATACCAAATAATCTAGCCCCCAACGTGCAGCAACAATATCCAGCTTACCAGGGTCCACCGTATGTGGGTTCGTCGACACAATTTCGCCCACCCGGCCAAAATGTCACACAACAGCAGCCTCCTTTTCCCCCAGTACCCCGTTACCCTAACCCATCATTCCCTTCTTTTTAACACCCTACTCCTAATGGCCAACCAACCCTTCCTAACTACCAAAATTTCTCACAATTCTTTGTGAACCCGCAATACCCACCCCTGCCCGGCCCTTTTGGAGGAACCAGAAGTGATGAGATTTAACTTGAGTTATTTACTTTCCAGTGTTATTTATTTTTCCATTTGATTGTGATGCATTGTCTTCATATCTTATTTGGAACGATTGTTTGTCATTTCTATTTGACATTGGCTTTAGCTACCGAGTCCAGTTTGTGAGTGTGTTTGTTGTAACGTTATAGACTTTGATTGGAACGTTGATTATATGTTAGGCATTGTTGTTAATGGATGCATTCGGTAACATTGTTTATGATATCATTTCAAATATTGTTTTGTATCTTGTGGATTATATTGGCAGAGAGGATGTGGAGTGGCGGCCCATCAAACGTGGGAAACAATGCTCCACCAGACGATGACTCTGATGATGACTACTTTCTTGGTGCAGCCGCTGCTGCGGTATTCTATACGGCATACTTGGAACATCCACTACCGACTCCTAGGAATAATAGCCACTACACAGGTACGATGCGTCTAAGTGATTTGTTAAATGGACATGAGATGGTAATATACAATAAGATTAGGATAGGCAGCGATTGCTTTAGGTGATTGAGTTGGTTACTGGAACAAAGGAATTTATTGAGGAGTACACGAAATATGAGCGTTGATGAGCAATTAATCATTTTCTTGACAATTATTTGTCAAAGCGAAAGCAATAGAGAGACACAACATCAATGGCAACACTCGGGGGCTACAATTTCAAAGTACTTCATGGTAGTGTTGAATGCCATATTTCGTCTTCGCAGTGACTTTATTAAGCCACCTGACTTTAACCTAATGGATCCACTTATTGAGGCAAGTGGGAACAAGTACAGACCTTGGTTCGATGTAAGGCTAAACTTTTATTATGTTTCTTGTGTGTTATAAAAATTATGATTACACAATATAGTTGGATGAAGAATAATGTTTACTCTAATTGTCGCAGAACTGTGTTGGAGCGCTCGACGGGACGCACGTTCCATGTGTACCGCCGTCAGAAAATGCAGAGGTCTGGAGAAATAGGAAGGGATTCAACTCACAAAATGTTTTGGGAGTGTGTTCCTTTGACATGAAGTTCACGTTTATGTCTGCCGGGTGGGAGGGTTCCACACACGACGCTCGAGTTCTTGAATCAGCACTTGATAGGCCAGAAAAAAAAGTTCCATGTCCCTCCACCAGGTACACGCAAATCCTAAAATGGGTAATAGTTGGAGTTTGAATCTGTGTGGGTTTAAAAAGTTCGAACAAGTATGCTAAAACAGTTTCTCTTCCCACCAAGTAGGAAAATTTTTTTAGTAGACTCCGGATACGCAAACACAGGTTGTTTCCTAGCTCCTTATCGCGGTTCTACGTACCACTTGCAAGAATACAGGGCACGTCGCGGTCGACCTCGAACTGAACGGGAGTTATTTAACTACACTCATTCATCGCTAAGGAATTGTATCGAGCGGACGTTCGGGGTATGGAAAGTGAGGTTCCACATACTAAAGATAATAAACAACTACCCGATGAAGAAACAAGCGAGAATACCTATTGCGTGCGCTGTGATACATAACTTTATACGCATGTATCAACATAATGACAACTTCATAAATCAATACTTACAAGATGGGGTACCCGTAAGTGAAATTGACCCCCTGAACGTGGATGATGATATCAATCAAAATCATAACCCAGATCGGAGTACGGAACCTCCAAGAAACACCGCGAGTCGAAGGGAGATGAGTCTTATGAGGGATGAAATAGCGAGAACTATGTGGCAGGCTAATGATGGAAATAATAATCGTTAAATGTACACGTATCAGTTAACATGTATGTAATATTTGTTTTGTAACAGGTAAATCGAGCCATTTGAGGCAATGTCTATTTTTGCTTCTTTTTTTTTTCCTATTTTCGGAATTTTTTTTTCGTTGTGACAGGTAATTTTCTCCTTCATTAATTAGTTACATGTCTTAACATATGAATATGACATTTAAAAAAAAATAGAAACGTGTGTTCTTCGGTTTGAATAATGGAACTTCTTTTTTTCTTTCATTGTATTTAGTAAATGGAAGAGAATTGAGATGGTAGTTGGAATAATGGAATCTGTGAAATGAATACATCACAGTTCGAACTATGGGTCAAACTTGTACTTCAAATGGACTCCTAAATACTAACTCCAATTCCAATTACAATTCCAATCTAGATTCTAACTCCAATCATAATTTTGACTCAAATTATAAAATTGTGATCGGTGAAGTGAACACATCCTTAATATATATGTATATATATTTTTAATTTGTGGTGGGGAATTCTAATTCTGCACTTTGTGCAAGAATCAGATCTCAAAATACGGTACATATTGTTTTGAATGAGTCATTATTATTTAATTATCTTCCTAATGAAAATGCTCACGGCCTGAATAGTATAAAGCTTATTTCCAATGCCTGATCATACAGTACTAGCCAATCAACGTCATGCTTATATATGATAAATTGAAGTTGGAGTCAACTGACTAAGACGTGAATACACATTTTTCTATATTTTGGTTTTCAAATGAAATATAGTTAGTCAACGGCAGTTACGCATCTCATATTTTCATTTTTCAATTTGTTCTTTTTTTCTAAACTTTTTTTTTTTTGGTAACTCCCGCGAATCGTCGAGATGAAGAAAAAGAAGCCAGGCGCACTTCTTTCGGTTATGTCTTGACCGAAATCTTCAATTACGGAACAGATTGATCCAAAATTTAGGATTTCCATCATTGCATGTGACAATTATTTTACTTTATAACACGTTTAATTCCAAAAGCTCTCTTGTCGTTTTCATCAGGTTAATGTGACACCTAGATTAACGGTTCATCAACAAATAAACGATTAAGAAAATCAACCCTAAAAATATTACCCTACAGATAATTATTAATGTTATCTACATTAATGTAATCAGAGAAGTAAAGACAATTGAAAAAGGGGAGTTTCTGTAAAAAGTTGTATATTGCCTTAGCTTGTAATAGCTCATGTACAGTGTTTATATACAGCTTAAAGAAATCAACGTGGACGTTTGGTTCACGGATTCAGAATTATTTCCAATTTATGTGTGTTTTTTTTAGAAAAAATATTATAATGGGTCACGAATCATGATTCAAACCATGACACGAAATTCTCATACCAAACACCTTATAAACCTATAGATACGCACCAGGTGAAAAAGAATATTATAAATCCCAAGAGAATTGTACAGCCTGACAAAGAATAACAAACTTCCTGAAATACAGGGAAGAAAACTCTGTTGCGGAGCTGCAACTAATCCTTTATAACTAATCTCACTATTAAACATAATTAGAACTAATAAAGAATTATTGCTGCCTAACAAATGTAATCTATTACCTCGATTAAAGGTTGGTGGTTTTGAAAGTATCTAATTCAGTATTTCTTCATGATAAATGCACCAGTCTTGCCCCTCTTTTTTTTTTTTTTTTGGTTCTTTTTTCAACTAATTATGTGTATCTCT